ACTGGCCCTCCGCAGGGTATGACTGCCACCCTAATGCTATAAGAGATTGAAGGAAACTGTAATGACAACTACAGCAGAAACAAGTACAGAAGTTTTTGCAAGACATGCACTTTATAAAGGCTGGAATTATATGTTCATTATGTATTTATCCCTCTCGGTATGTGCATTTGACTGGATATGTGGGTCTACGTTTCACACAGAATTGATCATCTTATGTCTCATGTCTTCTGTGTGCATGTACTTTACCTCATTGCCAAGCTGATCAACGATTGAGATGTAATTCGGCTGTGATTTGTTGGGATAGGACAACAGGACATCGTAGGGCACCATCTCCACTGAGTCCAGTCCAAACTCCAGCCACTCTTTCTTGATCTGCTCTGCGTATCTCAGGTTCTGCTCTGTACCAGCCAGGTGGGGGAGTTCTGTAAATTTCCTTTTAAAAAGGATGAAAAATATCTTGAGGCCAAAGAGCGGAGGTTTGAATGTCAAGAGTAGGTTGGGAAAGTGACTTTTGGCTTTTTAGATTTAATTATAAAACATTTTATAAAGAAAAAGGAGTTAGAAAAAAGTAGGTTATATTGATGCAAAGCTGCTCTTGATGTCTCAGTGGCACAACACCAGGATCCTGAAAATGAAGCGGCTAAATGGAATTCAACCATTATTAACGTGTGCCTTTCCAATGGTGACATTTCAAAAGGTCCCTTTGAAAAAAGCCTGTAAGTCTACTGTCACACTAAAGACTAAAATGCTAATTTTCATTCATTAAGCAAAATTGTGGATTGAGTGAAAAATATTCAGCCTGTGACATTTCGCATGTAAGCTTGCGAATGTAATGTTTACCATGTTAGCTCAGCATGATAACATGCTAACTTTTACAATATTTAAGACATATAGCCTATAATCATATAATGGGAACAATTGCAGTTAACCCATTAAAGGACCAATATAGAATTTAGTGGAATCTAGTGGTGAAGTTTGCTGCTAACTGAACATCGCTCCAGGCTGTATTTGACAACCTAAGAATGAGGCTATGAAGTGTGTAGGAGAAACTATGGTGGCTGCAAAACTCACGAAAAACATAGAAGGTTCAAGCAGAGGTCCATATTGTGGTGAGGCTAAGCACTTGTGGTGAGATTCCCACTCTTGATGCAGGTGAGTAAGAGCACCGGGACACATTTGTAGACTGCACCGAGGATTGCTGTGTTGTTCTGAAGGTAGCACCCCTGGGCACTCCTCGGGGTAGTCGGCCTCTCCACAAGTGGCCTCAGCTCACTCTCCT